CATTTAAAAATGGTCCCGTATCGGCCGCAATCAAATATAGCGGAACGGGTCAACAGAAATATAGTGAAAATTATCCGTAGTTATGTTAAAAATTTTCATAAAAGCTGGGATAACTATGTCAATGAATTTGCTTTCGCCCTTAGGACCGCAAAACATGATACAACGGGCAAAACTCCTGCTGAGTTATTTCTAGGCAGAAAGATTATAACACCGTTAGATAAATTATTTTATGTGCAACAAAGAGCCCCAGAATTTAAAATGGGTGATATAGAAAAACTAATAAAAGAAGCAAAAAAGAATACGGAAGTAGCACAAAGAAAACAAAAATTGTATTATGACTTGAAACGACGGGGAGTAACTTATAAAGTAGGGGATGAAGTACTAAAAATTAAGCATTCACTTTCTTCAGCACCAGAAGATAAAACTGCCAAATTTTTTCCACGCTTTGAAGGACCATATGTTATAGAAAAAATAACTCACGCTGTTGTAGTGTTAAAGGCCAGAAATGGTGAAACCTGTTCCGCAAACATTGATCAAATCAAGCCCTACTTCGATCGTAATAAAATGCAAATCTTTTCAGATCTTTTGCAGGATCCGGTACGGCAGACACCGCAGGTACAAGTTCCAGAGGTGGGAAAACGACAAGTACAAGGGCAAGCCAATGAGAGACAGAAGCAAGTGAAAAGAAAATTGCCCCGCGGAAAAATTGAAGGTAAAAAGAAAAAGAAGCCGTTCCACCGTCCAAAAAACAGAGTTCACGAACACCCCCAGAATGAAGAAGGGAGAAGGACGACGTATGTGGAAAAGACCGGGAGAAAGGACGGCAACTATAACCCGGCTGTGAAACGGAAGATTGACTCATCCGACAGAACTCTCCGCAGCAAAAGTCGCCGAACTGCGGAAGGGCCATCAGCGGCGGAGGAAAAAGTACAAGAAAAATTTGAACGGCCAACAACGAGGTCCAAGCAGGATCACGACAGAAGTTTCCCGGTTCCACCAAGACCAGCTGCCTTCAAACGGCCAAGACCACAAGCAGAGGACAAAAGGAAGATGTTCAAGGGTGGCCGTAGTGGTGAAAAACGGAAGCTTCCAGAGGAAAGCACTGAAGGGCGAGCCCGTACAAGAAGGAGGATCAACCAAGCTACGGTCTGCAGCACCTTTAAAGACTGGGCCCAGAAAAGGATGTCTGAATATTACAAAGATAAGTAAAATTTTATGTTACTTTACAAACTTAAGTTAATCTTTCATTCTTACTGCAAGTGGCAGATTTCAAGAAGTTTTTACCTCATGCGAGGTCTACCTTTATCGCCAAAAGGGCGAGAAATGAGTTGTGACCGATTTTTCTTATTATGTTTTTCAATTACTCGCGCGTAAAACTAAAGTTGATGTATAATAGCGTTGTATAAAGACTTAAATATTGTAAAAAGTTATTGTATAAATTTTATTTAAAACATTCTAACAAGAAAGAAGTTTTAGTCTGAAAGACTTTTTGAAATGTAGTATTATTTCAATGTAGAAAGAATTGGCACTTGCTTGCTTTGAAAAGAATAGAAGTTAACAATGTACTACTAATGTATGTTTTCAAATGTGTAAAATTAACGGCATCTTGATATGTTCTTGTATACATGTGAACTGTTATTTTGAATGTTTAGAAATACCGTGATATGGTAAAAGTGAAAGTAATGTTAAAAATTTGTTATTCGTGTGACTGTAAAGATTAAATCATGGTGAATATGTGTTAAAGGTTGAATGATGTAGTTAGGCTCTCTGACGCTACACTTTAGAGTTAGCCACTTTCAGAATAGTACCTCAGGGTCTAGAGTTGAAATTAGGGTGTGTTAAGAGGTCTCGTATGTTGAATTTTAACACGTTAGTGTTTTGATTGTAGGAGGAAGTGTTGCACACGTAGACAGAAACACATTCGTGTTTGGTGTTTTTACAACACATGTCAGAGAGCACGGGGAGAGATAATTAAAATAGTCATGAATGAAATAAGAATGTTAAGAAAAGTATATTCTATATGTTATTTGCAATGTCATTCTGTAACATTTCATTAAACTAGTTTTCCTTCCAGATCTCTGGAAGGAACCAGAATTGAATAAAGCTCCTGTTTAGATGCAGTACAGATGAAAAAGAAAAAAGATTGTTGTATATTCCGGGAGCTGCTATTGTAACAAATTTCTTTCTTTTAAAATTTTCTAGTTTCTAGCTAAGTTATGATTGTAAAAGGTTGGCCTCGCGTTAGTTTCTAGAGCTAAAAGTTTTCAACAAGGTCGTTTTAGACCTCAGTTTCAAACTAATTAACTCTGGCGGGAAGTATGTAAGGATCTTAAGTTTTACTAACGTTTATTTTTTATTTTAAATCTTTACTATCACTTCTTATTTTCTACTTCCGGCCAGAATTATAAGCGTGAAGGAGTTTATGCAAAGTTGTCTGGCGAACGCCAAGTATTTAAGTGTGGCCTTTTTGCCAAGCAGAAGAGAGGAAGCCGTGAGTTCGAAGCAGGCCGCTTACCTTAGAAGTTACGCAGTTGCTACTTTGCCTTCCAGGCCAGAGGTTTTAATCCTCTTGATAAATTAAACGTATTGTAGTGTTCACAGTCTCTGTGCTACATACGCTTCCTGTTATTATAAGGCCAATCTTATTCTAAAGTTAAATTAGAGTTTAGTTTTTATTTGATATCTTTTAAGTTAGACCCCGAGTGGAGGGTCATTGTATTCCGAAGTACGGAAGTCATTGTATATAAGAAAAAAATAAAGGGTTTTGTATACCCTTCGTCGTATCCTGTCTACTTACTACAATAGTGAACATAGCTTAGTAAGCTCTCTGTTCTAGTCAGTCATTGTATGTTTCCGAAGAGGTAGAAAACATAACCTAAATTACTATCTAAATTTTTGTCTATTTTGAACTTTTAGCCTAAAATGTCTCCAAAAACGCGGTTTTCGCACATGCAAAAACTACGTTTTGAACACACAATTTAGCTAAAAATCCGAAACAAAAACAAAAAATTTAGATAGCAAAAACGTAAAGTTTCTAACCAAAAATATTTGACAAGAATCCATGTACACAGCGACATGTTTTAACTTAAAAAAACATCTACGAATTGCACAATGTAGGCAACGAACGAATCTACAAACTACGCACACCTCGCTTTAATAAATTAACATAACAACAATAAATTTCAAAGAATACCATGTACACAGCATCCTGTTTAAACTTTAAAAAAATTCTACGAATTGCACAATTTAGGCAAGGAAGGAATCTACGATCTACGCACTCCTCGCTTTAATAAAATAACATAACAACAATAAATTTCAAATAATACCATGTACACAGCGTTCTGTTTCAACTTTAAAAAACATCTACGAATTGTACAGTCTAGACACTAAACAACAAAATAAACTAAAATAAATTTCAAACAATTTAAAAAAACAACAATAACGACAGAAATTCATACTAAAGAACCAATGAACATAACATTCTACAAAATAAGAACAAGGATAAAATAAAATGCACTTACCATGAATTAATGCGTTTTCGAATAGCAGAAATATAAATTTCATACCGCCACGTAATCACTATCGTATTTACATGACAGCCAGACACACTATCCAGAAAATTTATACTATGGTTCACAAATAAATAAAATCACAAATCCCTACTTCTATCATGCACTGCCATTAAAAATAATCTCCCAGACCCTCTTTCCACACTTCTAAATACCCACTACCCCTCAACAGGATAGCCACAATCATATTTCCTTTTGCCGAACTTCAATTCAACAACTACCATTTTATCTTTCCCTCCCATCTTCTCAGACACAGAGGCGAACCAACGAGCTCCAGCGGAAGATTTTTCAACGTCAACAGGGTTGCCATAGAACACGCAATCGCGCCAAAAACCAGCGCAACATATATTGCCACATTTGGTGAAATTAGGGCGTATATTAGAGTTGTACCTATACCGTAAACCTTCATCTGTTTCCTTCCACCACACTTCAAATCACATCATTCGACCTAAACAGAAAGTAGTTTCATTTTATTCCTTCGTTTGCTGACTTCAAGTATGATCTTCCAAGTCGGCTCTTGGTCAAGAATTAAACTACTTAAAAGTAGCTGCTATTGACAGAGGTTTTTCACCTAACATTATCGACCAAGCGTTTAAAAATTTTTATTTCAACGCATCGAAAAGATCTTTCTCATTTTAGATGATTAATAAGGCCCGTGTTATCATTCCTTTCTTTCCAGAATCCCGCGAACGGGCTGGCTGCATGGGCGTTTTTCGTGGTTTTCCCCATGTGTAACGTGTATACGAGCCAGTTTCCCTTAGAAAGTCCTCCACGAAGGCATCCCTCCCCTTTAGGCAGATAGCCCTCGTGTGCTTTGCCATAATTAAATAATCCAATCCAAATCCTTTCTTTCCATCGATTAGTTATGAAACTGCACGTGTTTTATAGAAATTCAACTTTCGAAACATTTTCTCTTCTGTAAATAAAATGTGCAGTTCCGTACTGAAGGACCCCATTCCAGATATGAATTCCTGGAGTATATACAGGATTCTTTTTTTAGAATGGTTTAATTTGCATTGATCAAACCAAGACAGCTTTAAAATTCCGCGCAAAGGAATATGAGGCGCATGTTAGGAAAAAAGAAACACATAAATTCATTGTTGCCCAACGCTGTTGGTCAAAAAATTCCATTTCCTCTTTTTCTGAAGCAAAAGTTATTGGAAAAACATCTTAATTGACGAATTAGATTTTCTTTAGGCGTTTCAATAACTAGAACGTTCAGATTTTTAGAACTGCTAGGAAAGCTATTTGAATTTAAAGTTAACGCCACTTGCCTTTATATAGGAATAACATAACTAAGTTAAGGTCTTTTGGAATTAAAAACAGAGGCTAACTAATAAAATGCAATTAAAATAGTTTTCAAAGAATGTTTTTACCCTTAAATCTTATAGTACAAAAATATTACTTTTTACAAATTTTTAATAAATTTACCTTCGACTGACAAAGCAGTGCGCTGCTGTTATGACATGCTTTTCATCGATAAGAGTTCCTCCACACAGCTGTTTCTTAGTATTTCCATTAAAAATTGCCACCTGCAATGCAAATAGCGAAATAAATATGTATTTTATGAAATAGGAAATTATTGCATTCACGAAAGTTTTCTGAACTTAGATGAAACCGATATTATAGCTGTAGATTCAACATCCGAGCGTCTCTTTATCAAAAGAACTGCTTAATCACTTGAACTTTACCTTCTTTGAAGGCATTTTAAAAATGATTTACGATGCTAAGGGCTTCAGTGAACCGATAAATCGCGCTGATGGAACACATAGATAACTATAAATATATATTACGGGGAAGTATTCAAGAGTTATTTTTCCTTATTATACCGGAGGCACTGTGCTTAATATGATCACGTTTGCCCACTGCTATTTACTTTGATAGCATTTTAATTAGCAAAAGGCAAAAATTTGTTTGTGAACTATTCATAATGTCATTTACGAATTGTTCATTAGTGAATGACAAGTTCATTTATGAATTGTTCATAACCTTTCTGCAAATTATTTGACTGATGCTGAACACTTGATCTCAATACTTGGAAGGCATCCCGTAATTACAGGAAGAGAATACGCCAGTGCAGAATTAAAAATTAGGAGAAAAAAAAAATTACGATCAAAGGGGCATTTTTTTAACATTTTGTTTGTTACCTTTATTTATTAAATATCACGTTCTTCGCACTTAAACCATAAAATTCAGTTAAAGAGCAATATCGCAAAATAGTTTTAAATTGAGCATATCTTTAGAATTTCCGATATGCAGTCTCACGCGCTGGAGATAAAAATGTTTTTTCTGTACAACGTTGCCATTGATCGCTTTGAAATCCTTGAGTTTGTTAATCAAAAATTCGTTAAAGATTTACAAAATATGAAATCGATAATGAAACAAATTCCAAATTTCAAATTTGGACTTCCACATGCCCATATTCGCAGTAGGATTACGTCATTCAAGCTTCGATGGCGCTATGTACCGTTGTTTTATCAGAATGCGAGAAATATACATACATTTATGCAGATTTTTCATTATTTAATTTCTTCAAATATATTGCAGGACTCTAACATTTGGTGGCAACAGTTTGAAAAGTGAAAAAGACATTTATATTAGTAAACCAACGCAAAATCGCAAAACGAAAACAATAGTCTTTCAGGGACAAAGCCCCTTTAAACTGAAAAAAAAAAAAAAAAAAAAAAAGCATTAGTACATGTTTTTATGATTTGTTTTTCTTCAGAAGTAAAAAAAAAAAGGGAGGGGCGGGATTCTGTAGAAATTTTTTCCCAAAAACTAAGGTTGCTTTTTTTTTGCTTAGTTTTAAAAGACATTAAAATTGAAAGCAAGCTATTTGGTGGCCTAATTCCTTAATCGTGGACACTTCTTTGTCACTTGCGAATCTTTATAATCTAGTTTGATCTTATTTGGCAACTTTACTTCAGTTTAAAAATATTTATTCTGCAATATTTTGATAATATTATTTTAGTTATTGATCACAATAAGCGATGTATTTTTCGTATATAAATAGGCAGGGCTTCGGCAATTCGGTAATACGTAATATCCAAATGGCAATGTTAACCACAATCACATTAAGCGGCGTCTACTGCATCATAATGTAAATGTTTTGGCATCCTTTTTATCTCCCTTGTGTTCTTTTTAATTGCTTGTGCGCCAGATAGTATTTAAAAAACGGGAGATTGCATTAAGATGTTACTAAACATTCTTCGCGCATGTGCGGAAGCATCACAGGGCTCAGCTTAACATAAGTGGCAATAAATTATTGTTCTTCGGGTCGTTTTACCAAGATACAGTGGGATGGATAAGATCAGCGTTACCTCTTGCTTTCTGAAATACGAGAAAAAGTGTTCCTAAAATCAAGAATCATCGTCATATGTTGTTGTGATTTATCTCAGTTGCCTGACAGTAACACTATAACAAGTCCATGAATTTTATTGTAATTAGAAGCGCAAGAATTCGATTGTCGTTGGCATGGGCCTTGGTCACCTTTTACAGCTGCACTCAGAGAGTGTACCCAAAAGCCTCCAACTCTTCTTTACCTACCACCAACCACTAGAGAGAACTTTTGACACGCCGTGTAAGTGCTCCCATGAAGAAAAGACATTGCACCTTACAAATAGCCAAGTCTTCTCAGGGACTCGAATCCGAATTCAGTGATACGGAAGCTAGCATCATTAAGCACTGCACCCATCAAAGCGATCTGGTTGTGTAGGGTTATATCCAACATAACCAAACCGCCTCATAGATATAATCACCCATTCTACCTTATTTTCATGCAAAGAAGCTTATAAGGTATTTCTTCCACCTTCTTAGCGTGCCTTCGTGGTGTAGTGGTTCTGCACGCTGAGCCGGTATTCCAGAGGTCCGTGGTTCGATTCCCGGCGAAGGCTTTGCATCTTGCCTACTCTTTTTATTATATGACACTGTCTAAAAATTGTATTTTATGTTTTTACTTATCCTGCTTGATACGGGGCACCTGCTACAAAAAAAAATTAAAATTATGTTTCTATCGTAATAACAGAAGTTTTAGAACCGTAAATGATTATAAAACAGTGTTAAACCTTTTACAGAATTTTCATTCATGTACAACATGACACTGTGAAAGAAACATTTTTGAAAGATTTCTTCTGTATCTTATTTTCACATGCTGAATTTTTATAGAAATTTACTTCGTTTTTGAAAAAGCAAACAAAACCAGTAATGCAATAAAAAAATAACTTTCAAAAGAACACGAAAATAAATATATAATCCGTTATTTGATTTAAATTAAAACTATTCTATTTGAAAATATCAATATGAATAATTTCTGTCTTGTTAAAATAATTATCTTAAAGAAGCAAACACGATGTACCAGCTTTTGTCCGGAATAAATAGATTGGTGAAGAATCATAGATGTAGTCGTAGCTTAAATTATCAGACGATAAGTTTAAAAAACAGGATCCATTTATTATTGGGTCAGGAGGAATGGCAGTTACAAAAATTAAGATCTCCGGAGTAAATAAAAAAGAATTACTAATAACTTTTTGTATGAAGTTTACTGCATCGTTACATGAAAGAAAAGACCCCGATATTCCTTTGCGAGTCCTTTTATAGCCTCTGGAAAGGCGGAGCTTCCAAAAAATGACGTCAACCTCATCAGCCATTCCAGTTCGCTTTAAATATCTCCAGAACATTCTATAACTGTACGTGTAGAAAAGGCGGGAAAAACAACTTAACTACGGGGCTGTGGATTCAATTCCACGTACTTTCAAATAAGAGACCGTCGCCATTAAAAATGAAAAGAACATACAGTTAGAATTTCAAATGTATTTTTGACTATGGAATTTTATTATTATATACATACATATATATTTAGGAGATAATATAATCAATTAATCAATACTGTTTAGGAAATAAATTATTATATATATATATATCGTTTATTTAAATAAATTATATCAGAAGATTACTTAACATCCAAGGCCATTTCACTGTAGCTGACGCACCTCCAACAGCAAAAAGGACCGGGGGATGGGCAACACCTGATTGGCGTGGCAAGGGATCGATCTCAAACGCTAAAGTTGAATTCTGAACGAGTTTTTCCAAAGTCCTCGGTTCAATTCCTGTTGGCAGAGTATCATTTGTATTTAAAGGAGGATATGCCACAGTTTCATCTTCGTCCAAACGAGGAAGGATTCGAATTCCACACCCTAGAAAAATAAATGCGTTCATAACCTAAAATAAATAAAATATAATTTTTTCACATAGTGCAGTTCCATGTTTAACTAATTCAAAATTCTTTTAAAATTAGGCAAAAAAGTAGTCTTGTTTTATTTATTTATATTTTTCTACTAATTAAAATGAAATGATTTAAGTTTGGAATAAAAGCTTTGCGGAATTTGAAGGCGATCAACCACAATTCCTTCTTTTTCAAGAGTTACGAATTTTGTATTTAGATAGCTAATGTTAGCAGAATTATTAAATTTGTTTGATTTTCTCGTGCAATGCAGCGTGAGACGAGTTTTTAATACAAAGTTACGCCGGAAAAGTAAAAATATAAGAGCACATGCATTTAACATTGAATAAAGGGATATCTTTTTGATTTATATTTAATTTGAATAAATGTAATTGACTACTGCGTTAGCTGTAACCGTAGTTCTCCTCTTGTTGGTTTACAGAAATCTCGAGAAACAAAGAAATTACTAGAACTCTCTCGCGACCAATTGAAAGCTTTAAAAAGTTCCGGAGAGAGACATCTCAACTCAGTTGTTTAGTTACTGTTAAATGCGATTTATTTAGTTAAAATACAACGTAGTTTCGGACTGAGATATCTGAATTAGCTTTCCCTTTCTGTCTGAACTAGGTTTTATTTTGACGTTTTTAGTATTTTAAAGTATAGTTACTGGTTGTATAGCGGTCTACTCATTATTCAGTATAGCGGTCACTCTGATATTGTGAACACTTGTACGAATATGTCTGAGGAAAATTCCAGCGTTTTGTTCTATTTCTTATGATAAGAATAAATTTTATTAATCTTTTATCGGACTTGTGCATTCAATCTGTTACGAACTCGTACGCACGCAACAATATTTTTAAGTTGGCCTTATATGTACCTTTAGGTAATAAGATAGTGTCTCTCGTAGTATATTGCTGTGATCAAAAGGTATCGAGACTGATTCCATACGACACAAAATTTTGATTATTGTTTAATAGTTATTACATTACCTTCAAAGTAATCTCCTTCGTCTGCAATACACTGATATTCTAGTGTTTTTCTCATTTCTCAAAATATGTTACAAAACGTTTTCGCGAAGCCCTTTCACGATTCACAGTGAATTTTTTTTTATTGCCTCAAAACCGTGACCACGAAGCGGTAATTTTAGCCACGAAAAATAGAGAAATTTCCATAGTTCCGTATCAAGTGAATACGAAATTCGTGGAATCGTTTTTAGAGAATTAGGCACTCAAATAATATATTGTCGCCAAATGGGCGATTTCTCGCCAAATATGGCAACCCTGCCTTCCCTTGCCATTTTGTGGTAATCCTAAAACTGCTTCGCGGGGAAGCCATCCCACCGCTGCCACCAGTGTTACGAAATGTACAGGCGTGGTAAGATGGTTTCCATCTTTTCTTGGAATTCAGCAAAGGCAGTCATAGATCTTCCATTGGTCTTGTCACTCATCTTACTGCGCCTGTACATTTCGTAACAATATTTACTGTGAATTTGGCTAGTTGCCAGAAATTCATACTATGTAGCACCATAATAATCGAAGGAAACAGCCTGCTACAGGTCCAAGTGAGCAGGACACCATAATTTCGCCATCAGTAGTAAAGGTATGGTCCTGCCGCACCAACTGTGCATTTCCGCGCCAGTTGTTAGGAAGAGTGCCCAGGGAAGCGGTCAGAGGGTCTTCCCCACCTTTCCTTACCATTAACTTTTCGAAATGACATTCGGCTTTTGAATGTCCCCTTGCCTCACAGACACTATACGAACATCAATGCTTTCTCATCACTATACTGATTGGACGGTCGAAGAAAACACTCAACATTACCATGATGTTTGACTGATTTTAATAGGTCACGGACATTTAGCCATCAACCACTTGGCGGACGAGACACTTGCTGGTCGACAGGACTTTTAGCCGATACGTATGTGTAGCGGACACGGATATTTAGGATCATTAGGTATTTTTGGAAGCAGGCAAGATGACAAAATTAGCAACGCTTTCGCCGGGAATCGAACCGCGGACCTCTGGAATACCGGTCCAGCGTGCAGAACCACTACAGCACAAAGACATGCCAAGACGGTGGGAGAAATACCTTACAAATTAGACTAAGAATCTTAAAAAAATGGCTTATAATATATTTATCTCTTATTATAATTGTTTTTTTTTTTTTTTTTAATTTTACAAATATAAACAAGTTTTCAAATTTTCAGAAGCAAAATTACAGACTCTAAAGGGACAAAAATTTGATTTTAATCAGTTTGGTGGCTGCGCTTGATGCACTGATAAAATATTTTAAATATTTAACTTGAAATTATTTATCTTAATTCGCTTCTGTCAAAAATATTCACTTTCTTTCTTGTTTTCTTGATTAAATTATTGGCTTGACTAAAGCCTGCTTCAGCTGAGTAAGAAGAGGGGAAACCAATGATGCTGGTTTGGGGTTATAAGTTTTATTTTTTGGAATATTTCTCTAGGATGATTTTATATTTCTCTAGGATGATTATTTTTTGATTTTTTGGAATATTTCTCTAGGATGATTTATTTTTCCTCACATGTCTTAGTGGCGCCAAGCAGAAACTACTTGTAGAGTCATTTAAAATGATTTCAATGACAGAAAACTGAAGAAATTCGCAATGCCCTTACCTAGATTCAAACTGCGACAGTCCCGAATACGCGTCGAGCATGTTTCGGTTACGTTATAAAGGCATGTTGGAAGGACAGAGAAAATACATTGTAACTTTTAAATTCCAAAACTCAGCTGACCCATGTTTTGGGATGCGACATATGCTTGAAATCCTGCTTCAGCAGGTGACGGAGGACGGGGGCGCATGGTGTCTAACATAGGTAAACAGGCATATGCCCCGCGTCCTCCACTATCTAGAGGCTGGAGCTCCATGAGCCCCATGAGCCCCCCACTCCCTGGAGTCCCATGAGGCCGCCCCGGGAGTTTATTAGGATCTTAAAAACAAAAGTTAACATGGCCATACAAGGGCTACACTACGTGTAGTACATTGTAAGAACGTGAGACAACTGAAGGTTATGGTTATAGAGGTAGAACAAAACAAGACATAAACATAAAACATAAATGGAAACATATAAAAAGAAACATAAAGAAACACATAAAGCACACTAAAAACACAAAAAGGTACATTAAGATACACTAAAATAAACGGAACTAAACACTAAAAATCACAGAACACATATAAGGCACATAGCACAAACAGCTCCTCTTTCATCATAATATCAAAAGCCATTTTGGCCCATTCAAATTTTCAATGTCTGATATCTCTCTGAAAGCGAGGTCCACCAGCGGCCGAGGGTAAAAATCGCTTAACTCTGGTAGTTCTGTCCTGGGTTCGAATCTAGGCGAATGGACTGGTTGCATTGGCGTTTCCTGGGGTTTTCCCTACGTGCAACATGTATACGAGGCAATTTTCCTTAGAAATTTCTCGTCGAAGGCATCCCTCCTCTTAGGCAGATAGCCCTAGTGTGCTTTGCCATAATAAACTAAACCAAACTAGACCTATCCCGAAAGTGATTATTTCGGCTTCAGCATTCTCTCTGTCTTCCGATACTTCAGACTTATGCCCCGGTAAAATACTCAGCCAGTTTATAGCTTGTTTTGTTGAATGTGTAGTGCTACACTAGGTTACCGGCGTTTGAATTTAATTGACTGTTAGACTGTTAACTGCTTAATTTACATAGACACTATTGGTAGTTTGCCTGTAGAACAAGTGGTGTCTTTTATGTTGAAAGTTAAAATTAAATGTTGAAATTTTTCAAGACTTTGTCATAATACTATTTCGAACGCAGAGATAGCTCGCTAGCTTATCATGTAAGCTCTGGAGGACTTAACTTCAGCTTCCAAATCAAAAGCAACCCTACGAGATTCACTTTCTTGCTAGGCCTTTCTCCATGGAAGATTTTGAATGGAAAATATTAATGAGAATTAAATTATTATCTCTTCCTCCACAGAGAGAGAAATACTACAGAGTTCTATTTCTGTTATTGCTTGGGAAGACGAAACCGAGAAGGGCAGTCGTTTTGAACTTTTACAATTTATTTTAAACCATAGTGTCTACAATGAAATTTCGAATACTGTAATTCAGCTTGGCGAATTACACTATTCGAATTACAGTATAATAATGCGAATATTCCTCATAACTGCTATAAGTATTACTCGCTGTGAGAGGAGTTTTTTGTAAATACGTATATAAATCGGTTCAGATGCATATAAGATATGAAAATGCAAATCTTGTGTTTAATAAATGCTTTACCGTCTAGTCATGAAACGAACATCTAAAGCCTTCGATTTAATTATGATAAATAATAATAATAATAATAGAAATGTAAAAAATAATATTTGTAATAGAAAGCAAGCTAAATAGCACTTTAAGACGTTAAAATTAAAGTTTTATTTTAAAAATTAACACGGAACTTTCATTTATTTTCCTGTATGTAGTTTTACATTTTATAGATTGGATTCATTGATATGCATTGAAGGGACGGCAAATGGGCACCCCGGGCAGCAAAAGCTCTAGCTACGTCACTGCGCATACCATGACGATCCACCTGACTAACTCCTACAGAATAATGTTTCACGCTAATATGCTGCCATCGGCGGATAATAAACTAAACCAAACTAGACCCCTCCGCCCATTCCCATCTCTAGCCACGTTAATCAACAAATCAACTTCATGTCATTAAAAACTGCCTGGAAAAAAGCATACAGTTTTTCTTTTTTCAGTAAAAACACTTTCAAGAATGTATGATCGTTTATGTGCCGAGGGAGGGAATTACGCGAATCATTTAATTTCGGAAGAACGCGGTTACAGTAAATATAAAAATAAAAAGTATGAAAAATGTATGAAAAATAAAAAGTTGTCATGAATAAACTGCAAATAACTTTCACAATATTATTTCTTTAAAAGAAACCTACTTTCCAATGAGAATACATAGTAGTATTAACAACATTCCAGTATCTATTAAAATGTCTTCAATTCTAGCTATCCGTAACCTGAAAGCTCACCCATTCTTATTGTTGTCTCTGTTACTACTTAGGCCTCAAATCATCCATCAATAATTAGAGAAGGTGGATGTGCGGCTGACTCGGCAAAACTGTAGACTGAATGTAATTCCATGGTCGTTTTACTTTGATGGGTGGGTTCTTGCATTAGCCTGCCATAGCGTTCAACAGTTAGAAGGGAAACGTTTGGCGTGACTTTCGCAGGTAGTTGCGAGAGTCTGCCGTGCTTAGTAAGAGGTAAATAATCACTACGTGCACGAATGCATTTTAAAATTTAAGGGAGGTCGTTGTCATTGAGGAATGGGGAAATGACGCGAATATTTTTAAAATTTTCAGAACCTGGCAATATAGGATGAAATACGAGAATGGGAAAAACATGCGAGGCAATGATAAATTCTGTACCTTTAGGACTAAGTCTGTTGACTTTCTTTTCATCGTCGAGGTGTGGTGGAGCTTCCGTCGAAGTATCTCTAGGACAGCAGACCAACGGAACTTCCGTCACCCACCCACAGACTTTTGGGTACTTTCCCCTTGCAATGGAGGTCAAGGCAAACGGACAAGACGTGATAACGATGCAGTCGTTTATTCTCCCATCATCTGAAGGGCAAGAAACCTTGCGAAGGGTTGGGAAACGTACGCTTGCGGCCCATGGCAAGCCTACGATAAACACTGTTGAAAAGAAAAAAAAAAAGCTTAAGAGAATTCGGGTAACTTGCTTAAAACATACACAGTTTATAATAACTAACAGTAATTCTATAGTATTGGTCATAAGTGCTAATTTAACTTATAACGTTTTATGGTAGAAAAATCGATTTTTTTCTCCCTAAATACGCGTGATATCTGTCAGTCGTAAATTTATATTGTGAGCTTGTTCGTTTGCGCCCACTGCGGTGCGTAACTGGAACGCGAGCTGTGCTCGTTTATGACTATCAAAGAGTTAGTAAACCAGTTATTATGATTTGAACCTAAACTGTTACTTCGCCTTTCCTTTAGTCCTCTCCAGAATGCAAATTAATTGTTTGTGTATTTAAGCGGAGAGTTTGAGCGTTTAGATTAGAGCTTCTGGCAAACTCGCCATGCTGTTGCGTATTATCGCCAACTCTGCCAAGTCTGGCTTTAGCATCTTGCTAGCCGACGCTTAAAATACGCGGCGTTAATTATTTTGACCTAGCTTAAGTTGATTATTTTGTATTGTAGTCTCAGACTACGTTACCGATATTTGAATATAATTCTTGCAAATAACATTCATTTAAATTTCTATAAGTAGTGGAGGTTCATCTGTTGCACAAGCTGTGCCATTCTTTGAATGAAATGAAAGGCACGGCTTTGTACGACAGACGAACCTCTGCTACTTGCGGAGACTTTAAATTAACACAAGATAATGTTGAGCTGAAATATAGGTAATAGTCGGAAACTAATTAAGCTGGCTCAAGTTTTTCTTAAAACACATTTTAACACGGCGTCATTTCTAAAATTAGAAGGTTCGGACGTCAGAAAAGAGGTACAAAAATAATTAATTAATAATAGTAAAATATTAATGATTAAAATGATTAAATAATTAAAATAAAAATTCAACAAAATGTAAAGGGATTAATAAAAGTTTAATAAATTATAAAACTGTTGATAAATATTTAAAAAAAATTATAAGTTATTATACTTTTCGTAAATAGTTGACATATAAGGTACTTTTTCCCTCCTCTCCGCATGCCTTCGTGTTGCAACGATAGCACACTCGGCGCTTCATGTCTTCTGCTTTAAAATTACCTAATATTTCTACAGTGGCGCACGAACTAAAAGGTGGGGGACGATAATTCGTCACCACCAGCATTTGGTGATTGAATCCCGTATTTCCCAGCCGCTCTTTAAAAGGGGAGAATATGTAAGGTACTTTCTCTCTCCTTTCCCCATGCCTTCGTGGTGTAACAGTAGCACACTCAGAGCGTATTCAAGAGGTTTAGGTTCGAGTCCCGGTGAGGGCATTACTCATTTTTCTTGTCTGCTGCTTCAAAATAACCTAATGACTCTACAAACTAATAAAATAAAATACTGGACTTCGTCGTATTTGGATCACCGGCTGGAATTACAGTTTCGCTTATAAACTAAAAAATAGATTCGTTTATAAACTAAAAAATAAATTTAAAACTTGAATATACAGTAAAATGCACTACTTTAAGAGATGATAGAAACAAAGACCTTTATTTGTCCAGCATAAATGCAAAACGATTAAAGGGTCACTATTGATACAGTAAGAGAAAGAATAAGAGAGAGTAGAGAAACAGTAAGAGAGTGTGGAATACATTTTAACAGAGGATGTATAGGCATGAAAACAAACAGAGAAGAGTCCAGCACGATTTCCTGCCAATATAATTCCAATATGGGGAATACAATTTTAGTCTGGGAAATAAGATGAAATGTAAGATGACAATTTTAGTCTTCCCTATTTGGTTACGTCGTACCAAAATGTCTTCAGGGCAATATTTCATGTCTTTTACATTGAACACTAAAGATCAGGGTTTCATTGTATTTCCTGGAGAAGGGTGTCTGTAATCATGGCAAAGCCTCGAGGGCTATCTGCCTAAGGGGAGGGATGCCTTCGTGGAGGACTTTCTAAGGGAAACTGGCTCGCATACACGTTACACATGTGGAAACCACGAAAACGCCCACGTAGCCAGCCCGTTCGCGGGATTCGAACCTCGGACCGAACTACCAGTGTTCAGCGACTTTACCACTCGGCCGCTGGTGGGCCTTCCTGGAAAAGGAGTGTTTGCCATGTGGATGGGACTGTACATTCCGTCGAAAGGTTTGTTTCGTTGAAGGGCGTTCAGAAGGTAGAATCGATTTTTAAGGTTTGCTTACAATCAAAATAAAATTTTCATTTGTTTACAATCAAAAGAATTTTTTGCTGAAATAGTGGTTCATTTACATAAAAGACGTTTCGGAGCCCTCTTAGGGCTTTGGTGCGATCTAGCTAAAATTTAATTTATCTCAAAAATTAAGAAGTATTGGATCTAGGCTCCAGCGGATTCCATTGTCGTTTATATTAACCAACGGTTAATCCTATAAATTTTGTATATATCGTTTTAAACGCAGCTTAAACTAATAGTCTTGACATTAGAAATAATAATGCGTAATGATTAAATTACTAAAATAATCGCATCATTTTCCCCTTCGTCTATTGTACATAGCTTTACCCTCCCAGGGCTACTTTATTACTAAATTGCATTTAATTAGTTTCATTTTTATTCTTGTTCAGTGTTGTAGAGACATTAGGTAATTTCGAAGCAGGAGAGATTAAAAATGAGCAATGCCCTCGCCGGGACTCGAACCACGAACCTCTCTAATTCGCGTCGAGCGTGCTGATCACTACACTACGAGGGCATGCTATGAAGGCGGGAGAAATACCTTATAGTGTAATCAGTTTGCATTTGAGTTTTTTGTTTTATCATTTCATCCATTTTATTTTTCCTCGCATGTATTATTTGAAACGTATTTTGTGCAGATTCTTCGATATGCTACCCGGACATGGTAAACGTTCTCATACTTAAGAAACTTTCCAAACACGAGATTTCAACTTGCTTCTGTTATTTACGTTCCAGTTCATTATAGCCTTATCGACTGCTGATGCGTTTGATCTTTCGAAATCCGACGCTTCTGTTCTCCTCCCTCTGATGTCCCTGTTGTGAACTGCGGTCAAGACTCATTCATGTGAGCTGCTCCCGGAACTTTACAAGGTAACTGAGCCGGACACGTCGCGTTGAGTCATATACGATCAGATACTGCAATGCTAATATTAACATGTGTGCTTAATTGAATGGGGATTTCTTTTAAAGAAATAATATTGTGATAGCTTCCAGTAGGTTTTCCAACTCCTTTTTCTAACCTCATTCATTGATGATTCGTAGAATTTTCCCCTCTCAATTTTCGGACGATAAAATTAGTTAAAAAGGAGGGGTTAAATGAACGAGGAAATAAATTACTTCACAGTTGCTAAGAAAATGCTCATCCAAATATTTTACCTGAATAATAATTTTTTATCCCGATGTTGCACATAAATGCATTAAAAGAATACCCATGAAAATTTGTCTTCAGAAAGCCTTCTCATTTGAATAACAAATCGCGTTATTTAAATTTTATGTATATAAAAAACGTTTTGAAAAGATTCACAATTTGTTTATAGATTAACATGTAACGTTGCGCGCTTCCAACCTGCACGCAACAATAGTGGTGATTGCTAAGAACTGGAAAGTAGACCAAAGTCTTCAGAAGGGTTTAAATCCCTTTTTATTCAACTTTAGAAATTACAAATGCGTGCTCTTGACGCTCACAAACTACGCCGACCCGGCGGTAAAATAAAAATAAGAAACTAAGAAAAGAATAGTAACAAGTGACTAACTACGAGGCTCTCTAAACGTAACTAACCTCACCGCGTTCTAAAATACCGCTGATAATACAGCAAACTCTGAATATTACGTTGAAAGATTAACAAACTGCCGAGGCAAGCACACAGGCCGAAACGCGTGGTTCTTCAATTTCTAACTAGCCACCTCCACGCTCGGGAAGTAAGAAAGCACACCTTCGAACTCGTTTCCCTTCTATTTAACTCAGAATACTTCCGCTGATAATTTGAATCCTTGCGCGTTCTACTAAAATTTACATACTCTGGCATTGGCAATTCCAGGGGAAAGTAAGACTAGACAGGAAAGATAGTTTAAACTTAAAATAAATGTTAGTTAAAATAAATATAAACCCTACAAACAAAATAACTATTTATTTCATATATTAATCAGAACTTATAAAGATCGAACTAATAAATTTCGTTCTTTGTTTGCCTTTAATTTCAAATAAAAATTATCAAATACATTTTTCAGAAAACGAGGCTATTTTCCCTCATGGATTTTGCAGAAAACGAGGCTTCGTTATATTCTGCTAAATAATGAAAAGGAAAAATCTAGCATCCCGAAATACAGTAAGTTATTTTATTTGTTTTTAAGTATTATAAGGTATTTCTCACACCTTCCTAGCGTGCCTTCGTGGTGTAGTGGTTCTGCACGCTGAGCCAGTATACAGAGGTCCGTGGTTAGATTCCCGGCGAAGGCGGTTGCTAATTTTTCATATCTCTTTGCTTTTCCAAAATACTTAATGTCTCTACAGTATAAACAGCAAGTTTTACTTATTTTGCTGTGTTGAAATCATTTTCTTTATGTAAAAAGAAAACTACCATCTTGTCTGTGTTATGCATGCATAACACTCTTTCCAAGTAGTAAAAGTACAATAGCGTTTATGAGATCTTATAAGAGAAAAGGCGAAGAGGGGGAAAAAATGTGTATGCCGTTGACTCACTCAACTGATAAATGTTCATGTTTACAGAGCGTTAAGTGTTGCCATACTTATTTTTATATTCGGTATACTGTGTATCTTTAGGATAAAAATTGATTGAAATATCGGTATGATGAAGATACCCGCATCCACCCTGTATATTTATCTGTAAAAATTATATCCCATGGAGTTGTAAAAAAGGTTCCAAATTTTGGTTCTTTTTTTTCTTTTTCCCCCTTCTCTTCTGGCGTGTTATTTACAAAATTTATACAAACTATCGACACACAAAATTTCTGACTCGGTATTTGAAAATACTGGAAAATATCAAAATGTTTAATTTAATTACTCTTTGTTTCGAAGCTGTGAATAGCAACTATTTATAAAGCAATTTAAAATGGAATCCTTAGTTTTGCAACATTTTTAGTAGTTTTGGTAAACAGTTTATGTTGATATATTTAAAACTGTGAGTTTTACGATTCCAATAATACAAACAAAAGGTAGTTATAAGCCGTATTATTAGATCTAATTTTATGATTTGCATTTTGTGAACTGCTTTGACGTTAGTTTGCAAATACCACGAGATGAATGAGTTTAAAACATGAGTTGCCTATTTTAGCCTACTGCTTACTTTATTGTTATTAATTGTTAGTTCAAATGTTCTCCCTGATGGACTATTGTTTTCATTTTGCGTTGAAAATTTTAAAAGGCTGTATCACTTTTCAAATCGTTGCCACCAAATACTATTTTATATATTAATGTATTATATTTGAAGAAATTAAATTATGAAGAATCTGCATAAATGTATGTATGTTTCTCTCATTGTGATAAAACAACGGTACCTAGAGCCCTCCAATTTTGAATGACGTAATCCTAGTGCGAATATGGGCATCTGGAAAGTCCAAATTTGAAATTTGGAATTTGTTTTATTATCGATTTCATATTTTGTAGAACTTTAACGAATTTTTTTAACGAACTCAGCGATTTAAAAGCGAGCAATGGCAACACTCTACGGGGGGTTAAAAAGAAAAACTTTTTATCTCTAGCTCGCGGAACTGTGTATCGGGAATTCTAAAGATATACTCGTTTTAAAATTATTTTGCGACATTGCTGTTGAACTGAATTTTATGGTTTAAGTGGCAAAGAACATGATGTTTAATAACTAAAGGTAACTCACAAAACGTTAAAAAAACGCCCCTTTGGTAGTAATTTAAAATCTGAAACCTTTCAGATTTTTTTATTACTTTAGTTATCATTTTCAGCGTTAACAATGACATGAGATATTAGTTAATATGATTCAGAAAAGCAAAGGGGAAAAATTGTGTGTAGCGTGGTCGCATTCAGCTCATCAATGTTTACATTTACAAGAAATGTTTTCGAAATTGAGGGTAATCAAAATAAATTCTCAGAGAGATCATTGAGCAGTAAAAAAATTTTAGTTCGCTCCATGTGCTCGATGGGTTAACATCAGTATTAACACATTAAAATTTAATCGAGACAGATTGTTGGAGATTTAATTTTAAAATATTATTTGACTCTTTAGAGAATCGAGGGGGTTTACTAGTATGGATACGTTACGCTTGTAGTATAAAATAACCATCATGTAGTTGTACGTCATTACTACAGTACTCTTATATGCTAAACTGCATATAAGTTTTACACACGAAAACTGATTATTGTAAATCAAATTTTGGTAAAAACATCATTTCATAATAATAATCTGTTAATAAACAGGTAATAAATAAAGCCATGTTTAACCGTTAATAAAGAAAAATAAAATTTACGTTTAAAAACATAAATAAAATTACGTTACGATTCTTAAAAAAATCGTTCGAATTCATTTCTTGAATTATTTATATTATTAACCACTTTATGCATATATTTTGTCACAGCTCACTGTTTTTATGAAAGGTGGCTAGAAATATTTAGAATATTGTTTTTCATATATCTACAGATATTACAACACTGAACCATATCAATAAACTGCAAAACTCCATCTCCATTAAACGCAATTCTAAAATAATTCAAAACGAACTCCTTCAAAATTCGTAACACTGCTTTGAAGTGAAAATAATATATCGTTATGTGAAATAAAACTATTTATTTCCACACAGAATTAATTCCAAACCAGTATTGGGAAACAAGCATATATCATAATGAATCGATTATTATAGAAAAGGGGGTTCAGTAGTTGCCATTTAACAGCAAACACATAAAAGTTCAAAACATTTTCGGCAGACGAAAATACTTATCCGAAATAATAAAGGAAATAAAACTAGTAATTAAATTTTATGTTGAAACATAACCCAGCCAAGATCGTTCTCAAAGAAATCAAAATCGTTTGTTTTTGATTAGGATTCCGCAACAATACAATAATAAATTATATCTTTAATTTTTCAAAATAGAATAAATTTTAAAATATTTTCAGCACTTACCTAGCTGTAGCGGAAACAAAATCATCTTTTATAAGTTTTCAAAGGCTAGATGGTTTTTGCATAGAAAAAATTCTCATTCAAGTATCTCTTATTCTAAAGTAGCGTTTTAACTGCGTCTATTTAGGTAGAATGTTCGGGTTTTATGCCGATTGTCCGTTCTTTTTGGACAAGAAGTTTTGATTGCCTGTCAAACCGCAACCGCAATTGACGCGCAAAGAAAAGTAACCTCTGCTCACGTTTTTGAACACTTTCCTTTTTTTTTTACTTTCTCTGACAAGTGCGTTAGGTCAACTAGTGAGAGTAATTCAGCTAAGGGGAAAAAAACCAGTCTTTCGCAAGAGGATTTTTTTTATTTTTACTTTTTATTTCATCAGAAAATAAAATTAGAATTTGCGCTCAGGTATTGTGAGCTAAGTCGGAACTGTCATTAAAATACGTTTAAGAGAACAGTACGTTAAGCCATTTCTGCGTTTGAAATGTTCGAATAAAAGATTCTTTGTTATATTTCATTTTGATTTCATTCTTCTTGCAAATGTTTTATTTCATTTAATTTTTATTCTTCGTAATTTTTTTTCTTTATTATTATTATTTTTTCCCTCAGGTTTGCTAGAATTTTGCTTTCGTTGCACTGCGGAAAAAAAAAAAAAAAAGGACGTAATGGGTAAATACGTAAGGAAAAAAATCCAAGGTTAAAATGCTTTTATTACTTTTTATTACATTAACGAAAGTTGTAAAATTCCTAGCAAAATAATTTCATTGAAATATATATTGCTCACTGTAGTAAGTTTAAATTTGTCTTAAGAAATATAGTACAAGGCACTCATGTCCAAATTTGCAATAAAATAATGATGTACTTTGATATTCCAATCGGTGTCACCCATTTTTTAACAGAATGTGTGAAAAGAAGCCTAATTAGCATTATTTGCTCAAAAGTAATCATACGGTTTTTGATATGCCAATCAAAACGTTACGTCGGTGAATCAAGCGCTGACTGTCTGTCTATTAAGCGCTTTGCGCAAAGTGAATATCCTGTGATACAGCGTTAGATTCCAAAGCGTAAGGACTCAAAGCTTGGTTTGTTATCGCTTCGAAGTATTATTTGGAAGAATCTGTAAAGTAACGACAACTACAGCTAGTTTTTGAAATACGAACAGCAGTTGAAATACAAGCAGACACCTAGTTGGTTGAAATACGAAATATACACAACTGTTTGCAGAAGGATGCGACGGACCATCTGAAGATTAGAAATTCATGTGTGCGGTCCCTTTACAAGTCACAATCTTCGAGCTCTTACGAGGTGTGACAAGACATGCTGTGACGTGACATTACATAAGCAAGAACTTGTTCACTAATGCCTCTATTTGACATCATAAGGACCATAACGTCACGGGACATTAGAAAGGCCATAAGTTCACGTCCAGGGTCAGGAGATTTTAACCATCTGCACTATTTTTGTCTTCAAAATGTCTAGAATTCAGGCGCCTGACCGGCCTATGACTCTGCAACTTCCCCGATATCGGCTTCAACTACATTGAATCAGAGGACCCAAGATAAAACTGAAATTTTTTTAAAAAAGGCATGACTAATTCCAAAACAGCGCAGAAACGTACAGAACACGTTCAGACAGCTTTTCGTTTATTATGTGACTTTGTTACGTGTATATAGAACGTTCTACACGACATACTAAAGTGGTGCGTGTTACAACCGTGTTCTTAATACGTATATTTCGACCTACAACACTTTTACTTTTTTAAGTGTTTCCAGCATGTGTTATGAAGAACGTTTTATAAGACGTACCGAAAAGTTATGGGTTACAACCGTTTCTTAGGACGTGCATTTCAACGTATAACACTCGCATTTTTCGAAATGTGATTCAGGACGTTCTGGTAGAACGTTACAGGAACAGCGTTCATAAAACAATGCGAACGTTATAGGAATGTTACAAGAACAAAAGTGTTAGTCGAAACACGTTTTGAAGTTCTCCTGCCCTCTATTGAACTCTAAGCTATTGACATGCTTCAGAAAGTTATCTGTTACAGGAATATTCATATAGCGTTTTAGGAATGCTATATAAAAGTGTTAGTAGTACCACTTTTTGACGTCCCTTATTGAACTTGTAGAGACATTAGGTTAATTGGAAGCAGGAGAAGTGAAAAATGAGCAACGCCTTCGCCGGGAATCGAACCACGGACCTCTGGAATACGCGCCCAGCGTGCAGACCACCGCACCACAAACGCATACTAGGAAGGCGGGAGAAATATCTTATATACTCCCCCTTTTTAAAGAGCGATTGGGTTTTTTTTAGGGTTACCCAATGGCCAAATCCTGGGTGTGAAGAATCATAATTTACCACCCTTTTAGTTCGGGCGCCACTGTAGAGACATTAGGTGTTTTTTGGAAGCAAGAATGATGAAAAATGAGTAACGCCTTTGCCGGGAATCGAACCACGGACCCCTGGAATACGCGCCCAGCATGCAGACAACTACAAAACGAAGGCACGCTAAGAATGCGGGAGAAATACCTTATACATTATATACTATAGGTTATTATAAATATATAGAAGTCATAGGGGTTTAGAGCGTTCTCCTCAAATGTTCCACGACTATTCTGGAAGAACGTGCCCAAATCTCTCTAATTGAACATTCATGCACGTTACAAACACAATTTAATATTGTCCGTTTTAGGACTGTTACATATAGACGTGATTTGGAACGTTTTGCTCGAACATTCCCGGCACGCATGAAGCACTTATATCGAATGTTCTCTGAACGTTCTTGTGATAACTGGATTCAGTCTGCGGAATATTCCAAACAGAACAAGTACTCAGAGCGCTGTAAGACTTTTGACTAGAGATCTTGCCACTAGCAAGATCCTGACACAAAGAGGTCAATAATTTACTTTCTAAATAATTTGCTTCTATCATTTAGTAGTAATTACCTATTATCTGTATTATATCGTTAACAGAGCTTCTAGCAGGTGTATAAATAAACGTGTTTTAGTTCAATGTGCAGTTTACGCAACCTAACCTATGCACAAGCCATTCAGCAACTGGTCCTTATAATGGCCCAGTGTTCGAAGATCAAGAAAGATCACACTTCTTTCTTTTAGGTTTGGTTTATTTAATTATGGCAAAGCACTCGAGGGCTATCTGCCTAAGAGGAGGTATGCCTTTGTGGAGGACTTTCTAAGAAAAAACGGCTGGTATACACGTTACACATACAGAAAACCCATGAAAACGTCCATGAAGCCAGTCCTGTTCGCCGGAATTCGAGCCCTCGACCGAAATACCAGTGTTCAGCGACTTTACCGCTCGGTTGCTGGTGGGCGCTTTCTTTTAGGGGTAAATCAGATAGAAAATTGCTCGAAACAGGTTGGTTGTCTAAAATAAAGTGATATGGGGTAAAGCTTTTATATTTGTACTAATTTTGTGCAACTTTTGCCGATAAATTTTAGTTAAGTGTTACATTAAAATTTAATTAAATTTTATATATGTCCGTGCGTTTTAAAAATTTAAAAGAAGTAAGACTAAATTAATCTTCCAAAGAAATCAGTTTCTCAGTTTTGACTTTAAAAAATAAAGTGAACATTCCTGATTTCAAAATACAGGGTGATTATAATTAAAGTTGCGATTTCAAACCGCTCTAATTATAAAACTACAGGTCATTATAAAATGAATGAGATGTAAACCTAACGCCAGAGTGTCACGCCAGAGTTTATGGTAAATAAAATATAGGGAATTTTAAAGAGCGCATTTATTCTGTTGTGGTTTATGCGCTATCGAAGAAGTAGATTTAATTCAATTCAATGAGTTTAAATGAAATGCAGAAAAAAAATACGTACAACTTAATATTCCATACAAGGAAAACATGTGGTGTATACATGAGCTTTTTTTTTATTTATGATATTTAAACTGAGAAAAATCATATCGGGTACGAGATATCCATCGCGAGTTTCCGTGTTCATATTTGACTAGCAAATTAGATCAGGTAGTGACTAGATAGATTAGGTAGCGGTAGGAATTAGATAGCGGTTTAGATTAAGAGAGTTTCCCCCGGTTTAATCTATACCTGCTGGTTTAAACATATATTACAAAATGTTGAAAACGTTTTGCGTACAGCATACTTGAACGATTGCACATAATTCGGAATGACGTTTATTGAAGAGTTTCTTTGCATATCTAATCTTAATTCAGGTATTAATGTATATAGTTTACGACTTGCATTTTAAAATATGGATTTTCATGACCTTGGTTATGTAGTTTTGGATCATTCATCTTCAGCACAGACTAGTTTCCCTTAGGACACTTTCTTTAAAATCCTTTTCGATAAAGCAAAGAAATATTGACCTTGAAGAAAAAAAAAACTGAGTGACAGCTGTCAAGTTCATCTGTTTGAGATGAATAAATGCCTCTGGATAAATTGCGGCTTTTTTCCTCCAAAGTTGTCCTGATTTACAAAAAACCAAATCCGTTTTCAACCGCATACAAATCATCGCGTCGATTGCTGCGACTTAAGAATGATAGTGGAATACCAGAAAAAATGCTAGCGGTTGAATTTAACAATAGTTCAAATTCTGAAAGTCTAGTTCAAGAATTCCAGTTTTAATATGATGCTATTGCCATTGAATATGCAATAGAAGTGTAAGAATAAAGAATTGAGGCATTTTAATAAAAAATCTTTGCAAATTGCTGTATCCCTAATTTTAAAAATAGAAAGGCATCCCTCATTGGAAGATATTCCAATGTAAAATTTTAAAATCACTTTTCCCCCATTAAAATAAAGAAGAAAATTGACATTTCTTTTTCCTTTCCTTTTCTTTTCTTTTCTTTTTTTTTTTTTTTTTTTTTTCTTTCTTTTTTTAAAGAAAGATTTGTGTCTGATCGCCCTCAAAATCGATAAAATTGTTAAAAATCATCTATGTCAAGCCAAGATTGCTTTTCTGCTTAATTTTAAATCGTTGACTGAATTCGAAACGCATCTGTTTGGCGACATTTCTCTCTCACTCGGAAATTTTTATAATCCATTTTCTATTTTGTCCTTATATGGAGAATTTATCTTTTATTTATCATGCTTAGTTCAAAAAATTAATTTGGCATTATTTTGATCATGCTAGCCCAATTGTTAACCACAGTAAGTGATGTATTTTCTGTGCTGTCGTGTACAAACAGGAGCGATTTTGGCAAATCGTTAACAATATCCGAAAGATAACATTATCCGCG